ATTTCTGGCATATCTTTTCATGTCAATTCTCACTTTTGTTTGATATAGTCCACATAGCATTTTATTTCTTCTTGTTGAACTTTTTAGGAAAAATTTAAGGTTCCGCTGGTCTCAATTGAATTTGCTGCCGATTGCATTTGATTTAAAACTCAATGACTGCATAGTTAATGTTGTCGGTGCCCTCTGCAGATCATTGTGCATCCCAATGAACTGAACTCATTGTGTCCCAAATGAACTGAACTCCGAAAAAATATCCACGCTACATTTTCAAGGCCACACATTAGAGAACAAATTAAAGAAACAACATATTTAAAGAGTCCATCCCCGATAAGCAGAAATTAAATAAAGCAAATATGTAGATTCGTCGAAAGTTTCCATCCCCGATAAGCAGAAATTAAATAAAGCAAATATGTAGATTCGCCGAAAGTTTCCATCCCCTTGCTGACTTTTGGACGAGAGTGTTTTTTATCCTTTTTCTGAAAGAAACTTCAAATCCAAAGATAATTGATATTATTTTGTCCCTAAAACCACAATCTAAAAATAATAAATAACAACAAGCAATGGAATTTCGGTAACTATGGCAATCGAAAAGTAATGATTACCTCATAATTTTGTTTACTTCAAAAGATTTTTGTGATATTCCAATATTTTGGATAATTTTAAGACGTTCTATTTTTAAGAAACAAAAAAATACATTGCCGTTTCTTTCCAAGAATTCCTATTGTAAAATATCACATTATCCGCTTAGACAAAATGTGGTAATCTCATAAAAAAGCCAAATGACCTTGATTTCAATTTTTACCCCCCATTTGCATGAAATCAATACGACACTGTTGTGCTGGTTTATGTCATTAATGTAAGCTTATGCCATTTGATATTTTGAATTGACCTTCTTAATGGATTTTATCTTTGTGATGCATTCAAGTGTGGTACTCGAAGAGCCCTTTATGGGCATGACAAACCAACTGCCCCCTCCCTCCACCACGAGTGCGTGTGTATGGGTTTTTATAGTGTTATTGAGAATTACGATTCTTCATTCAGCTCAGACAGAAGCTATGGTCTTAGCTAGCAATTATGTGAAAAATATGTAAAATATAATCATAATCCAATAACAGCAAACTATTAGTGCATAGATTCCAACACTTGCTGCCGATGACGAATAGAGCAAAATGGAAAAAAAGAGCCAGCCAGCCAGCCAGCCAACGGAGCAGTTAAGCCATCATCATGAACGTTGAACATTTGAAGGAGACACGATTATTGTTTGTTGTTTTTGTAATGGTTATTGTTGTTTTATAGCCTGAGCAGCATAACAACAAAATGTCTATCAAGTGCATCATGAATGGATGTATGAATAGATGTGTGGTGGACTGATGGTTTGTATTGAAAGGCCGAACAACCGACCCTGCATCCAGCAATCATTTGGCCAACCAAATGTCCGTCCATTTATTTTTACATTCGATAGACATGGAGCGATAAACGATTAACTTGCCAGGCCAACAACAACAACAACAAATACCAACTTGTATCCAATGTTTTGCTTAGCGCTCAATTGCATTGCATTACATGACGATGACGAAGACTACGACGATGATGATGGCTGGCTGGCTGGCTATGGTGATGTTGACTTTGGCCACTGATGATGAGCTGCTCAGCGTTCATTCAGCTGTGGTAATAACAGTAACTGTGGCACCAAATGTTTAAGGCTTTGTATTTGCTGTTTATAAACCATGAATAATTACAATGATCATCGCCATAGGCATTAGAATAATAAAGAGCAATGTGGAATAAACTGGCAAAACGAAAATAGACTTTAAAAGCAGTGGCGATGAACAGAGCTTATTATGGCGTCGTGGTCGTTGTCGCCGTGGCCACCATTGAATATATTTTGTTTACAATCGGTGGTGAAAAAAAATGCATGCTCGTTGATCAGCCTGACTGCCTGTCAGGTTTGTTGGGCAGTCGTCAGTCATGATCATCATCACCACCAGCGTCATATGCATATTCTAGATTCAAATAGACACACACACACACTCCTCTCATCTTTTCACTGTCATCCCACCAAATTATTTTCTTTCACGGTGACGATCAATAGTACCTCACAACATCTACATTCCTTCTGTCCAACCAAATTCTCTTCCATAATTGAAGCAGATCACAATCGTTGACAACTCGACTATGAATGTGTGGAAGAGTGCAAATGATGCCTTTGATGGTGTGCCTTTGTTTAATGGAATAAAATTGCTTGAATTAAAAGGGGTACAATGTCTGCGACAAAAACAGAAATGGGGCGCGGGGTTGTATCCAGAGAATGGGAAACAGAAGAATAACAATTTAAATTAAATTGCGTCTTTATCTGAAATGAATGTTAAGTGATTTAAATATGAGTACGTCGAATGGAATAGAATAATACCTCCAAAATGGAATACTCACAACATACCGCTATGTGCGATTCTGGTGCTTTGAAGAACAATCATCAATCAAACCTAGTTACTTTGGCGTTGGGTTTCTTCCATAAAAAGAGATACGACAATTGTTGATTGAACATCTTTATAAGGTGTTGTTATTGTTAATTGGTGACAAGTTTCTAGTTCTCTCTTTTTAAAACAATCGGAGGAAAGTGGGCCAGCGATGACTGATGTATTTATTGACGTGTCAACGACAATCAACGAATGTGCCAGGAATAGGAAATAGGCAAGGGTATTGCTGTGAGAGCATCAAACGTCTTCAACGTAGAAAGGGGTATTAAAAATTCCTTTTCTATCAAAAGAATGGAAACATTTATATTAAATATAGCAATCACGATGCCCAGAGTAAATGGGTTATTTGTTCCAAAACGAAATCGACATTTTCTGAACTTAATGGACGCTACCAAGGATCCGGAAGAACCGAAAGATAATAAGCAATGAGTCTGAATGTAGAGTATGTCCAATAACTTCCTAGAAGCGTACAACAATACCACTCTCCCAACGAAAACTGGCTAGTCTGGTTGACAATGGTCTGGGGTACTCCCTGCAAAGACAAAACTTATACTACTCACAAAGAAATGTAAAATAGAAAAATTTTCGCTGTCAGTACTAGATGTAGTTGCACTGAATCTTTCCTCCTGTGCTATGTTTCTCGGTACGATCTTGGACAGGCTTTTAAATTGGAGCAAGAACATCGAGAAGCATACGAAAATTGGCCCTATTTGCTCTCCATTCATGTAGGAACGCCATAGGGAAAAGTTAGGGGGCTTAAACCTCCTCAATCTGTCTTGGATTTGCTGCTCAATTTCCAGCCACTTAATATTCAAGCTCAACTTCAAACAGCAAGAAGTGCGCTGAGACTACGGGAAGCTGGAGGACGATATTCTTCACATTTTGGTTATGCACGAACCCTGGACATACCAATAAGTGATTACATGTCCACTATTTTTGACTTCAATTCTATTGATAGGGACATCCTGGCAGGTGGCGAACCTCCTCTGGACGGTCTGATTTTTTATACAGGCTCCAAGATGGATGAAAGCACAGGTGCTGGCGTATTTTGCCCTAACCCAATCCTTAAACACTCATATAAGCTAAATGGCAACTGCAGCGTTTTCCAGGCGGAGATTCTTGCAATCAAAAAGACAGCCGAAACGGTAAGAGAAATTAGCAATAGCATAGCGGTCCTTAAAGCTATCAAGTCAAGTGCCTTAAAATCGAGACCCAAGAAATTCCTCACTGAATAGCAACATAGTGCGGTTAAACCACCAAAAATCTTTTATGTCAGCGGCTTAAAAAAAATCTCATCGAAGAACATGTAGAAAGATGACACTTAGAGACCTGTTCTAGGGATTCTAGGACCATTTTTTCGATAATCCCGGGAAGAACAAAGTCCTTGCTATCACTTGGGAACTCTGATCTAAGGATGGCAGTCGGCATATTGACTGACCAATACGATATCAGATATCTGACGCTAAAATCCAAATTGTTTTCTTATTTTTATACTTTTCTTGTCGGCCTTAGATCGGAGCTTGAAGTTTTCTTCAAAACAATAACTTCCTTAATCAGGTTTAAACCAACCATTTCTGGATAAAAATTCCAGAAAAATAGTTGAGTTTCCACTAAACAACATTTAATTCATTAACTCTTTACATATTTTGTATAAAACTTTTAAAATTCAAAAGACATCGACATTCTACGCAATTTTTATTGATGGACATCAGGTGTCAATGCAGTTTAGTCTCAGTCTCGTGAGAGAATAGTAAACAAAGGAAAATAACAACAAACATCAATAAATAAGATAACCGACAAGACAGGAGAGAACGAAAAATGACAACTCAACACTTTACAACACTAATTTCTGCTGCAGTCCTACAAACACTTCTGCCACCGCTGCACTACCCGTATTTTTCATTATTGTTCGGTTTCTATTATTTCTTTACATGAACTAAATTTTGGAACCAAAAAAAAAAACGAAAATGGAACAAATTTCAATTGTTATTTACACTAAAATATATGGAGAATAATCAGAAAAAAACAAAAGAACCAAATCAACACAGACACACACACTCACACCAACACAATGCTTCTCATCAACAAATGTCTTTGCTAATATTTTCCCATTTTATTTTGTTCATTTATCGTACCACCACAAAATATACTAGATATATTCGTTTGCATATTCAATTATTTTCAAAGTTTTATTTTTTTCTTTTTTGGAAATAAATTTTATCAAAAACATTTTTGTGAATTGGTAAAATGAGACTTGTTGGCAGAGGCAGGTTGCCTGATTTAATCGTTCGCGGTGGTGGTGCTGGTAGCAATTGCGCTAACAATGTAGATAGCAAGTAATAATGGTGATGGTATGGTAATGATGAAGATGATGTAGTTTCGTCGTCGTCGAAACAACCAACAAAAAGCAAAATCCCCAATAATTTCACTTCAATTTTTTACTTGCACTTAAAATTCTTCACTTTTTTATTTTTTCCTGTTTTTCTCCTTTTTTTTTCTTATTGTTATTGCGGACGCACTTACTTTCTTCAATTGGATTGGTTGCACATAAATTTATGCTGTAAATAACTAGAAAAAGTGTAAAAATTCCCACAAAACCAGCACCGAATTTCGCCATCGTTTACGAGAACAATCAAAACGAACGAATGAACAACAAAAATGTTTAATAATTTGTCTTCTTCTTTTTCTTTTGTTTTTTTTTTTCTTCGTCGTATTATAACAATTTTTTCTTGTTTGTTCCGTTCTATTAAATATTTTTTAAGCTATCAAAACCGACTACGCCAACTGACTGAACTCAAAGAAAATTGATTGCAATTCATCGGCTAGGGTTGTGTACGTCGAGTTTCATGTAATCGAACCGAAAAATCGAATAACCGATTTTTTTGCTTATTTATTTTGTAGAAAGTCTCGTTTATATCGAAAGTGTTTTAATAAAACAAATTATTACCTATGTATTTAATTCAACCCATGATACAATAAAATCAAGATAGGGCTATGATACCATATGATTTTAATTTTTTTTATTTTCTTGACTTAATATGTCAACTTTATTTGTTCATGTCTGTGTATTCTTTTCAATACTAAAAAATGTTCAGAAAATATTCAAATTTGGGTGTTTTAAAAATGCTTATTGCAACAATGGTTTAAATAAAAAGGTAAGTCGATCATATGTTTACAAGTTTTTCGAATTTATTCACTTGACAACATCTCATTGTCTAAATTTATATTTATAAATCCATTGTATACACAAAAATCAGAGATGGGAACCAGTTCTATATTCTGTGAATTTTGACAAGATAAATTACAGAAAATGCAGTGATGAAGATGACTTTACCTTCTTAATTAATTAATGATTGCAACGTATCCATAAATCAGTTTTGTAGCCCAATAAAACTGTAGAGATATAAGGAACATGATTTTTAAAAGAAAATTTAACCTCTCATACAATTTTTTCGGTTTTCAATTATTTATTCAAAATCAATGCAACAAGTTTGATTTTATTTGTGCCAAACAGGTAGGCCTCTATACTTGCAATTTTTTTCAAAGTTAGCTTACCGGAAATTTACCGGGTTTTGTCAGCTCTTTGGGTGTTAAATGTGAAAAATATCGCAATTGGGTTATTAAAGAAAATCGATATGAAGTATTGATGCCGAAATACCGAAAAAATAATGAGAGACTGAACAATGCTAAGTAATTAATTCTTAAAATATTTTTTAAATCAATTTTCGAGCGTGATTCTTTTCATCCAGATTCTGTTATTTCTCTTACTGTCTTCGTTTTCTTTCGAAATCGCCAAAAATGTTTCGTCCGTTATCAACAAACCGTGTGCGGTGAAAGCTTCACGCACACGTACACGTACGATTTTGATGTCATGCATTTTGATCGTCTACGGGACACTTTAAAGGTGGGAATACGTAAAGCGCTTATTTGGCTGGCTTAAGTCATCGGCTGACTTCGAACAAAATCGAACTAAGTCAACTTAAAACTCCTTTGTTCCTCTACGAAGAAGCCAACCGATAACTTAAGCGAGCCAAATAAGCTCTTTAATTATTCCCACCTGAAGCCAGTCAAAAAAGCTTTTTACGTATTCTTTTTTTAAAGGTGCGTTTGTACTACGATAACCAATTTTCTCTTTATGATATGAAAGAATATTGCAAAACAAGAATATTCTTGAAGGTTCTGGAACAAAGCATTTATTTCACATTCGGGATCAAGTAATTGGCCATCTATATCGTGCCATTTATCGCCCAGTCAAAAAAGCGTTTATGTATTCTTACTTTAAAGGTGCGTTTTTACTACGATAACCAATGATTATGATATGGACGAATATTGAAAACAAAAATATTCTTGCAGGTTCTGGAACAAAGCATTTACTTCACATTCGGGATCAGGTAATTGGCCATCTATATCGTGCCATTTATCGCCCTAACGTGTGATTACATAAACAGCTGTCTTCGCATGGCATATTCTGTAATATATTATAAATGTATGCCGTCGTTGCCCCTTATAATTTGACATTAATATTCCTAGTCATAATACCAAGCTGCTTATGTACCCTCACCATTAGACTATTTTTGTTAAAGTTCATTTCTATGTAGACGAGCTCGCTTCAATTGACGCATTTGAAGATTACATTAAAGCATTTATTCGTGAAATACCGGCCAAAAAATTGGAAATAATGTGCCAGAGAAAATTTGGGGCTTTGTCGGAGTCAAAAGTTGCATAAAATAATCTTCTGATTCTACCTTTTTCTAAAACACTTTTCCATAGCTCTTAAAAATGCGCCCTTTATTAAAAAAGGATATTTTTCAAATCAGTAAATACAAATGGTTTATTTCAGAACTACGATAACCGATTTTCTTTTTATGATATCGAAAGAAATTGCAAAAGTTGTAGATTCTTGCGGGTTCTGGACATGAGTATGCTTATTTCAAATAACTTTACCTTCTTAATTTTACGATGCTCTTTGGTCTGTTCCAGAACTGCAAGAATATAAACGTTTTTACTACGATAACCGATTTTTCCTTTATGATATCGAAAAAAATTGCAAAACTATTAGATTCTTGCAGGTTCTGGAACAGAGCACTAGTGTTGACTGATATATATTAGTTGATTTTAATTTGTATTATTCGCCCGTGCTTTAATTTATGTACATTTATTTGAACATTTTTGCAAAAATTAAATTAACTATGACAGCTGTTTACGGTTATAGTTAATCGATAACATTAACTGTGTACGATTATAGTTGTGGTTATGGCTATGGCGAAGTTGTATGTCGCATCTAATTGAACCTTTCAGCAGATCTTTTTCTGCATATTTTCTATGGTGTAAACCCCACATCAGCTCTTCGCGTTGCCAATTTTTAAACTAGAAAGTCGATAAATTTTTAATCGGATAATAAAGATCTACCAAATAAAACTGGGCGTACAACGGAACTAACAACGAATGACGGCCAAAACGGAGCTAGTGCGAATGAGAAAAATTGATTCGTGAGTCGCCATTTCATTTGTCCATTTGTGTTGTGTGTGTTCAAATTAATTACATATTTTAATAAAATAAAATTAAATTACCAAGTTAAAGGATACATAATTAATGCATTTCTGAATGACGGCTTGTTATTGCAGTTTGCCTTCGTGTAAAATGGATAAAAGTCGTTGAAAGCCAAGACGAGTGCAAAACAAGATTTAGCCTTAATTGCACAGAAGAAAAAAAGTTGAAAATGATTTGTGAATCGCCGTCAATGTGTGCTGATGAGTAAAGAGAACAAGAAAATAATGAAAAAATAAAATTTTGTATAGATTTTCCACCACCGCAAGAATTGAAAATCATATTGAATTGAATTAAAATCAAGTAAAAAGTTCGCGATACATCAAGAGTGAAAAAATACGGAAATCGCGACGTCTAAAAGTCTTCCAAGCTGTGTGTGTCTACAGTGAAAAAATCGCATTCGACTCGCTCGCAACAATAAGAACGAACCCCCCATCAATCTACAACACATCAAAAATACATAAGTTTTGTTGTATCCCAATATACATCATAATTCCTAAATTTGCAATATCCCCAAGAAAAAGGGATTCTAGCTGTTTAAATTGCAATGTAAGTTATGTAAAAAAAGCTCCTCTCTATCAATTTAGAGTTGTGTGTCCCCCTTCGACCCCATCGGCTGGCTGGCTTGCTGCTGGTGCTGTTTGTTGGCTGGTTGGTTGGTAAGCGAGGCAGGCTGCCCCTGGCAGACACATACAAAAATATTGAAAAATTCGATTTTTTCCTAATTTTGGTGGCTGCCACGACTTTTTGTTTTTGTCTTTGCGCTGGGCAGGCACACCAACAACCAGCCAGCAGGCGGCAGCGACCGTAGCAAAGCTGTAAAATAAAAAAAAAAAGAAAAGTGTCAAGGTGTCAAAAGGGTATGTGTTTTCTTGTGTATTTTCGTTCGTCTTGCGTTGTTGGTTTTGGCCAGGGGGTTGCAAGAGGTGAAAATAGAAAATCGGATGTTGTGTGTTGTGTCGTCGCAAAAGAGAGGGAGAAAAAAAGATACATTTATTTTTTATAGACATCGGGAAAAAAGGCTCGCTCAAGTGTCGATTTATTGGTGCTTTTTTGTTTGCAATTTTTTTTTAAAAGAAACGTGTGTGAGTATGCGGCTTAAAATACAAAAATCATTAAAAAAATTGTGTATCAATGAAATTTGGAAAAAATAGAAACAACAAATACAAAAATCACAACGATTTAATTCTAGCCATTTTTCTCTGCTGCCGAAGAGATTTTTTTTATTTGCTGCGCTCTTCTGCTGCTCTGCTCTTGGAAAACTTCAAGTTGCATTTGTCTTGTCAAAATAGGGCGGTAAATAGTGTTGCCACATATTTCAGTTGCCAGATCGTTGCATTGTTTACAATGGCCAATGAGAAAGGGATAAACTATTTCTTTTGATCCCTTTGGGAGCATGTTAATGGATGTTTTTTTTTTTTGATATCAATATCAAAATATTGTGAAAAATTGATTAGATTGAGGCTTTATTTTCCATGCTGAAACAAATTATTGTTGTGTTCTGCAAAACTGCAAGAATGTAAATTTTCCCATTATGATATCGATGCAGATTGCAAAAATAGTAGATTCTTGCAGGCACAGAAACACTGCATATGTTTTATTTTCAAATTTCTGTAAACACTCAAGCCGGATAATCTGTGAACGATATCGGAGAAAATTGCAAAACTAGTAGATTCTTGCAGGTTCTGGAACAGACCAGTAGTCAACAATTGTACATTCTCGCAGTTCTGGAACAGGGCATAAATTGAAAATAAAACAACATATAGTATTTTTTAATATACAGGGTGAGATAAAAAAACTACAACAAAGTCAAACGCCATCATTTTTACATATTTTTAATTTTTATTGAATGAAAGCATAAATTGTCGGAAATAGCATCAAATTTTAGAATAAGTTTAGATTTGTTCGAATTGGTCACCTTTGGTTCGTAACAAATGAAACAGCCAATGAAACCGTCACACATTGCTCGAATGTTGCGTTGCGGTATTTTGGCCCATTCCCGGCGAAGCGCTTGCTTGAGGTGATCGAAACTTGAGCATTTTTAGTGCCATCCTTGCTTTCCAAAATACTCCAGACACTATAGTCCAACCGACTGGTATCCGGAGATTCTGGTGGCCATTGTGCGCTGGAAATGAAGAAAGGAACCTCATTTTGTAAACATTCTTGGGTGACGCGTGCTGAGAGCGATGGTGTTGAGTTCTGTTGGAATGTCCAAGGTCTGTGGCCAAAATGTTTGCTTGCCCAAGGCTTTAATACACCCTCCTGAATATTTTCGAGATAATATTCGGCATTTATTCTGATTCCATGGTCGATTAATACGAGCGGACAGCGACCATCGTCTGTTATGGCGGCACACACCATCATGGCGCGCGCTTAAGTTCCGGTGGCCAACCGAAGGTGTACACTTTCAGCTGAACTCTTTGGCAAGTAAACACGATCATTCTGTTTGTTTACAAATTACTGGACAACGAATGTTTTCTCATCGAAGAAAACCAAATTCTGCAGTTCACCACGTTCGGCCAAGCGAAGCAACTCTTTAGCTCTTTTGAGTCTATTTTCTTACTATCTTGCCGTTGCACTTTTTGGAATTTCAATGGCTTTACCCCGAGCTCATTTTTCAATATTTGCCGAATGAAATATTGCGATATGTTCAGCTCATGACCCATTTTTCGCCCACTGCGATGGGGTTTTCGATCAAGAAATTTAAAAAAGCAAACTCTGTTATAATTGTTAACATCATATATTGTTCGTTTTTGTTGTCAGGTGTGAACAAGTGATATATTCGTCAATCCTTTTTGTACCTCCCCGACACATGAACAAAATTTTGATAAATTATGAATTACAGACAAAGTGGTCGGAGTCCACGATTTACTCCAAACTTTGAACAAGTTTGGATAAATCATACATTTAGGCGGTATATATTTCCTATATATATATAATATTCGACAAACCGACTTGTTTCTAATACGTTTCGCCTCTCCATTCTTAATTTAATTGAAATTTTTTGGCAACACAATTTAGTTGGTCTCAAAATTGTAACATAGTGCCCAAGAAATTGCTGTTTCTCCTGTAATACCATGTCAATAAGAAAAGAAGAAGAAGAAGAGGCAGCGACGGTTCATAATCTTGATCAAAATGTTACTAATATAACTCTTAACAATCGTCCTTCTTGAACACCATTCATCGAAATTACTCTTCCTCGCTGCAAATACTTCATGATATGGCAACCTTATATTCTTTCATGAATTGAGAAAGGAAGAGATTTGCATTATGACAGAGAGAGAGAGAGAGTATTGCATTTACAAGACACTGTGCTGGCTGGTTGTCTGCAACAACAACGGGCAGCGGCAAAACTTGTGACAATTCAGCAGACGTCGTGTATTTGCAAGGCAGAAAAAATAGTATTTAAAAAGAAAACAATAAAAAAATTGACGAAATAAATTGCAAAGAGTAAATTTAAAATACAATTTACAACAATGTAAGTGAATACGTGTGCAAGGCAATGGGACAAATAGTATTTTATAACAATAAACATATTATTTTTTTTTTTTTTTTTTTTTTTTTGGACTGTCAATCGAGCTCTCCTATGTTGAAGAGAGCGTTGGCGATCCTCAGGATACAAAAAGCCAGGTTGTACTCCAAATTAAGGTAAATTTGTAGAAAGTCACCTCAAGTCCAATAAGTTTATTTTTCAAAATGATTTGCCAAATTACTCCACTCCAAAGAATTTATTTTCCAAAATGGTTGGTCACTAGTGAAATCGATTACAATCCAATCAGCGTTTATCCCAACATGGATTGCAAAGTCCAGTCCAATGCTTTTATTTTCCAAAATGGTTGGCCACTCTTGAAAACGATTACAAACCAATGAGCGTTTGTTACAAAATGGATTGCCAATATAAATTTTCCGATTACTGCAAATACAGTATAAAAATGGTGTAAAAAGAAAACGATAGTACATAAGTACAAATGTCGAATTGTAGTTCAATTTTGTTTGCTTATTTGATATTGTAATATTAATATGAAAAGGTTTTTAACTCACGACACCTGGTTGAGAGGTAGTTTTACTTGCGTGACAGATGCAGGACACCACAGACGTAAAAAGACAAAATGTGCCCATTCAGCAGCTATGAAGTCCAAGCGATCAGGAATATCCCAATTGTGAGTCCAGTTGTGTTCCAAAGGTTAGAATACCTGTCTGCAAATTGCATAAGGAAAATAAAGGGCCAAAAGTGGGGAATGGGATGGGATAATATCAATTAGTCAACATCCATTAAAAATAAGAAAGAAAAAAAAAAGAAGGAAAAAAAAAAAACAAAACTTAAAACTAATATCACAGCTTTGTTTATCACAGGTGATAGAAAGAGTTCATAAACTGATTTTGGTTTCTTTCAGGAACATTAGGAGAAGGTTGTATAGGTTGTGGTCTTTGGATTGCAGTAAAGGGATTAGTCCATGGTATTTAGGGAACAGGAGGGGATGTTTTTTCCTTATGTTGTTGAATCTTACGCAATCAAAAATCAAGTGGTGAGCAGTTTCCAGCACTGCACATGTCTCGCACAAGTTCGAGTCTGCAGCTCCTATCCGGTGTAAATACTTTTTGTCACTGGTATGGCCGGTAATCAGTCTGTTTATTAGCTTAGTATTGCTAGGCTCAAAAATCATTTTTGAAAACCATGGCTTTTCATATATGTTGTTTATAATCTGAAAGAAGTGACTGCCTTTTGATTCGGATAGTCTTATAAATTCTTCATTCCAGTCATCTTTCACCAGATTTTCGATTCTGGAATACGCCTCTTCAGGTGTTAAAAATACATCTACAGGAGCACCAACTAGAGAGGCCTGTTTGGCTAGCAAGTCGACCTCCTCGTTGATTCTAATGCCTCTGTGCGCAGGGATCCAGACAATGTGACATTTTTCAATAGAGGATCTTTCCAAAATATTGTGACATTCAGCAACCAGATAATTTGTCGAATCAGCTGAATTTAAAGCCTTGCACGCTGTAAGGCTATCTGTGAAAATAACACATCTGTTATAACCGTCCTCAGTCGCAATTTCCAGAGCCTTTTTTATGGCAAAAAGTTCTCCAAACATTGACGAGGCCTTGAAGTCAATTTTGAAAAGGAATTTGAAGTCTTTTGTTGCATTGTAAACCCCGCATCCAGTGGACTCAATGTTTACCGAGGCATCTGTTGCAAAAATACAAAATTGATTACTTTTATAAAAAGACAGCTCGCAATAAAAGGCAGAGAAAATGACCTCATTAGGCGTAATGTTTTTCGTGGATGGTAATAGGTTAGTTCTTACCGTTAGGTTTCTTTGATTTTTGTATGAAGTAATCTTGATTTTTCTAAAGATGTGCTCAAATTGATGATAGATGACGCTGTAGCTCGATTTGACGAGAGGGTTGTTTTCGATTATGTCAGATAAGTCATTATTTTCCAGCTTGATCTTAAGTATCTCCTTTGTGGTGAGGAGTTTGGCTCTATACTTAGGAGGCAATTCTCCAGCTAGGGCATATATAACGTGATTAGGTGTCGATCTACTAAC